CCATACCCACTGAACATGTAGCGTCCTCGAGAAATATACCTCTGTTGTATCCCACTGAGATTTCAGGATTAATTAGACCCTCTAACATAGCCTAGCCTATCATGACTAATACAAAAGCCAAGGCTACTAGTAGCACACGTGGCAGAGGAGAGAAGAGTCACAACAGCGTCATCCACACTGTTCCAGAGTCCCAGAAAAGAGAACTTTCTACAGATTTCCAGATGTGGAATTATTTAAAGCCAGTAAGTCCAAACACTTTAGGGGGTTTCAGTTATAACAGTCTGACAGAGATTCTGCAGTGTCTTTGGGGTTTAGCTAACAAATGTGTTTGTCAGATTAATAAAGCCAGTAGAGTTAACTTGAACTGGAAACTGACATCACAACACATATACACATTACAATATATTATACTCGTAGTTTGACTCGAAATCTTGAGATGATGATACAAATGCTGATTGAGTTGTCTTTGCCTGAGTTAACCATTTGTTTTGCAAGAAGGGCAGTATTAATATTTTCCCCTTAGTGCAAGACATCTCAATTTCTAAACAACTTTTATCCTATATATTTAGTTCTAAAGTTGATTGTTTAGAATTCTGGCTGCCCTTTCCTGACTGCAAAGAAATAACAAAGGGTGATTAGTTTCCCAGGCCAGATCCTACAGCCTATTTAACCTACAATGTGGCTAGACAAGAAATACATATTATTTCAGGACATAAATACGACTTACATTATTGATTCTAACCAAGGAGAAGCAAACTAAATGTCATTTTACGTAAGGCACAAGAGTAGTCAAGTAGGAAGCTGTGCCAGGTATATATGCATTTTATTTGAAAAAGGAGAAGGTCGGGGCGCCTGGGTGGCTCAGTTGGTTAAGCGACTGCCTTCGGCTCAGGTCATGATCCTGGAGTCCCAGGATCGAGTCCCGCATCGGGCTCCCTGCTCGGCAGGGAGTCTGCTTCTCCCTCTGACCCTCCCCCTCTCATGCTCTCTCTATCTCATTCTCTCTCAAATGAATAAATAAAATCTTAAAAAAAAAAAAAAGAAAAAGGAGAAGGTCAAATTCCAAAAGTGCATTGATGCATAATAATGGAAGTCCAACTGACCCAAATGCACACATCTAATCATAGATTCCGAATATTTGTATAAATAAAAATGAAACAACTTATGAGGCTAATAATTATAAAATGTTTCAGCTTGGAAAAATTAAGTTTAAAAATCACTTAAAATATAAAATATGCATGAAAACGAGGCTCTGAGTATGTAGCATTTCCAATGTGCTCCAGTCCTTCTTCCATATTTTTCCCATTTTAAAGGTTTCCCTAACATCTACAATTGGAATTTCTCGTGCTTTTTGAAGTTTTTCTTAACCTTTTAAAATATTTTTAAGAATAATACATGCTACCTATAGAAAACAAAGAAGATAAATTCAAATATAAATGGCTTGTAACCACTAACCGTTCAGGTACCTATTGGTAAACTTCTTGTACCTGTCGGACAGCCACAAAACTCAGCATCTTAACCCAACAGCCATTCGTTCCCATGGATCTACAGGCTGGCTAAGGTAACTCTGCTTCTCGCTGTGGCTTGCCAGGACCAGAGACAGGGATGGCCAGAACTTTTTTTAATGGTGATGTAGCACTTTTAGAAAGTGAGGCAGGTCTTATATGAGCTGTCATGGAAAGATCCTGTATTTACTTCATTGAGTTATAAGAGCAAGTTACAGAACAATATGCACATTGTTGGCTATGTATGCCTAAATCTATATTTTTACAGTACATCTATGTATGAAAAAGCTTCAAATCACCTTTAAAATGACACACACCAGACTGTTCATTGTGGTTACTTTTGAAAATGGGGTTGAAATTTGGAGGAAATTTCTAAGGGCGGAGGGGGGGACTGTGATTGACCTGTGTTCGAACTTTGTGTAACAAGAATTACACTACTATTAGCTTTGTCTAATGCAAAGCTTTGTCTAATGACAAATGTTTAAATGAGCCCAACAACAGAAATAAGCAGGTGTGTATTCCTCAGATAAAGTTACTGATGCAACAGAGAAAACCTGAAATTTGAGTGGCTTAACACAATAAGAACTTTCTTATGTACATAAAACCTGATGGGGTTTGGCAGAAACTCACTGCTGTCAGGTGACCCAGAGATCCAGGCTGTCTCCATCATCTCACATGGGCTCCCCATGTTTGCTGCTGAATGGAAGAGAGAGCACGGAAGTAGCACACTGACTGTCATGTGCCTTGGCCTGGAGGTGACAAACATGCCTCTACTCATGTATCGGTGGTAGCGGTTAGTCATATGACCCTTCCTAACTATAAGTGGACTGGGGATGGAATTGCTCCCACATTGTAGGTGCTCCATCAAGAGCAACTCCCGCAATTGGTGGTTAACAACGACCTGTTCCCTTCTTGGAGGAGTTTCTGAGAAGGCCAAATTTACCCTGAAATTCATCAATAATTTTCCTACTGCATACAATGTAACAGAGTTTTCAAATATAGGATTATATCTAATTTTCAAAAGGACCCTGTAATTCTTAGCAGGGAGAGCTCACCCCTTGTCCCTCAATAGCACCTTTCTGCATGGCCATTTGCAATAACCTGCAGAATCTCAGTAGGCTGAGGATTTTCTCCTACCTTTTGGCGCGTGGTCAAAATCATAGCTACCCACCACGTGACTGAGCTCGCCTGAATACCTGAAGAGGTACCATTAAACACACTCTGTAAAAACAGCATTTCCCTGGGACAGATATAGACAAGATTCACTGGAAGAATGGTGAATACTTTTTCCTTTTTATTGAGAGTCAGCATGTCTGTTAAGGACTCCAAGATGGGTTTTTAGAAATTCAGCCTCAGTAGACATTTGCTTATGCAGTGATTTCCTCAGTCCTTCCTCATCTACCACTTAGGAGGGAGGCTTTGGTTCTTGACCACTTAGTTAAGCTCACTCATCAGTGCGTAGATTCAGTGGCCACTTTCAAGTAAGATACTCCATTAAAATCCTACTGCAAATATCAGGTTGTTTCCCAAAAAAGGCCTCTCCAGCCTCAGAGTTATAAACAAAGGCCTTATAGATTCCATGCCAAATCAGAGTTTACATAATAGCTGATTTGGCAAAACACACACACACACACACACACTTTGAGAATGTGATGGAGGCACCTAGGGGAGGTGAGGAGGTGTCTAAACCTCACTGTCAGAATTACACAGAAGGGCAATTGCTGTCAAAGGGGGGCCAGGGGGAGGGATGGGAGCTGCAAGGAATTGCAATGCTCTAAGTCAGGGGAGGGCGGGGGATAGTGGCTCTCTGTGCCACCAGGCGCAGGGGCAGCCTCCAGAGGAGGACACACAGGACAGCTGGCCAATGGGCCAGGTCCCAGTTTGGTCATGAGGGCCACTGGGAAAGTCCCAGGGGAGGGAGCTGTCATGCAGGAAAGTGCCAGGACTGCACACAAGTGCTGGGACCAGGGCAGCGCCAGCTCTCAAGGGACCCTGGGGCGAGGGGCAGGAGGATCCTAGGAAAATGAACCCATGGACAATCCCCAACTTGTCCTTGATTTTCATTTGCACCTTGCTTCTTTAGGCCTGCTTTTAGTACTTCGGCCACAGGGTCCTTCTTTCATTGCCTGAGAGCCATCATGGAATAGTGAGAAGAGAAAGTAATTAAGAGACACGAGGTTGGCCTCAGGCTGCGAGGAGCGGAACAGCATGGGTTCCAGAGGAACCAGACCAGACTCTACCCCTGGTTCTGTCACTTCACCAGCTATGTGAACTTGAGACTATTTCAAGTTCTTCATTTGCCAAGTGGGTTAGAGAAGCCCTGTCCTGTAGGACTGCTGGAACATATGTAATGTATGTGAAGCACCTGGCACAGTGACAGACAAATATTGGGTCTTTAAGAAATGGTAGTTATTATGCTTTTTTTCACACCAGAAGGAACTACCCTCATCTCTGAGAATTTTTTTTTTGTCCAGGAGATGTCCGAGACTGCAGTGCTGTCTTCCTAAATGGCAGCTATGCCACTGAGAAGACCCCCAAGGGTCCTGCTTCAGAGAATGTATACATCACTGCTCTCACTTGCCCCCCTTCCTCATTGCTTTTTTTCAAACTTGTCTTACATGTTGGAGTTCATCACACCATCGTCCTTATATAACTGCTCTTACACTCTAAAAATCTACGTGCAGGGTCTTATCCTTAGCATCATCACTACTAACATACAACCTTCTAAAGACCAGATGCTCAATTAATGATAAGAATAAACGGGGCACAGAGCAAGGAATGTAACTTACTACTATTTTTTTTAAAGATTTTATTTATTTATTTGACAGAGAGACAGCGAGACAGGGAACACAAGCAGGGGGAGTGGGAGAGAGAGAAGCAGGCTTCCCGCCGAGCAGGGAGCCCGATGCGGGGCTCGATCCCAGGACCGTGGGATCATGACCTGAGCCGAAGGCAGACGCTTAACGACTGAGCCACCCAGGCGCCCCGTAACTTATTACTATTTAATTTTATCTGCATTCTTGAATAAGTTAAGGACATTCAGGTATATATCCTTGAATTTTAGAGAGAGAAAGACAAAAATGAATAGAACAAACCAATATTTAACTACATTTTACTTCGTTTCCATTTTAAAACCACAGTTATATTTTTGCTAGTTCTTTCATATTTCCAAGAAAAGTCCCTATTCCAAAGCCATATTATGTTGTTCTGGAACCCAAAGAAGATGCAAGGATTTTCAGGCTTTATTACACAACACCAAAACTACTCTTACTCTTAAATCTGACAGCAATGTGTGATCCATGTCATTTATAAACTTGGATTCTGAATCTAAATAAACATTCTATTGAAAGGAACTATATTTGTAAGCTACCAATGTATAACAGGAAAACAAAGAAGATAAATATTATGGCCTCACCAACCCCACTTTAGCCTCTCACTACTTCAACGCTGGCAGCCCTCCTCAACAACAAAGCGAAGACTCTGCCTCAGCCCTGTCTAGGGACGAGAGGAGCGGCTGGACTTGGCCCGGGAACGTGCACCGGCCTTGGTAACAGAGGCAGCCTGGGCTGCGGCTTGGGCTCGGGCTCGCTCTTCCTCATCTCGCAGAGCCTCTTCATAATGGAATGGGAAGGCACTGGGGACGGTATCATGAACCTTGGCCAAAAACTCTAGGACTTTCATCTTGCTGGTCTCAGCATGGGCCCTCGGGCCCCACAGGAACTCGTAGCGTGGAGGATCACTGTTGGCCACCTGGCGGTACTCCAGGTACTTTTCCTGCACCAAATCTTGGGTGATGAGCTTCCTGGGCTCCCCAAAGACTAAATGCCTCCTTCCATCGTAGATGCCCAAAATATTCAGGAATCCCCAGATATCTTCCTCAGAGGCGCGGTTGCCATTCAAGAAGATCACACTCAGAAGAGGCATGAGAAGCCCATTCTTAGGAAAGCCCGAGATGCTGCTCACACTGCCGTCACTGGTGAGGTCTAGGCTGCTGACGAGGGCATAGGAGTGACCGCCTGGCTTGACTTCCTTTAATTCTAGGCCAAAGACCAGCTCCATGTGCTCGGAGGCTCTCCTGAGGATCTCGGGGAAGTGCTCCCTGTGCCTTTTGTTGACCATCTTCAACATGTCTGCCTTTTTAATGGGTTCCCTCATTGTATGCTTTTCCAGCAGGAACTGCACCAACATCCCCACCTTCCTGGTTAGAGGATCTTTGCGAGCAATCTCAGGGGAAGTTGAGGCCTGAGAGGAATTTTTATTTTCCTCAACCTGGCTCTTGGCACCTGCATTAGCTCTCGGGCGTGAAACACCTGCAGCAGCACTGGTGGTGGCCACACCTTCCTGGGGCTCCTGGGAAGTGCCAGGAACAGGGGAACCTGAGGGAGCATCCCCAAAAACAGGAGAGGAGGAAGGAGTGGTCTCTTCCCCCTCTGCTGTGGTGGCCTGAGCACTCGTAAGACCTTGGGTCTCACCTCTGTTATGGCGGCGTTTCTCACGAGCACGGAGCTTACTCTTCTGACCACGAGGCATAATGGCTGTGATCAGGGATGGCAGGTAAGGGTGTGAGCCAGTGGACAGGTGATTTGGGCCCCTGCAGGAGGGAGAGTAAGATGGTTTTATCACCTTCAACAAGTAGATTCCACTTTGGTTTTATCAAAGGCCACCTCTGCAGGATCCTTGAGGGTACTGTTCTAGGACCCCACAAAGGATCCTGTTCTCTTGGTCAGCCTATCCCCTACGAATCCCAGAGAGGAACCACGGAACCCTTAAAGTGTGTCGTATTTGCATCCTGCTAGCCCTGCCTTGGGTTTACTCAGGTGAGAGCAGGTGTCTGCAGTGAGGCCCCCTGTCTTCTGGCATGTTGGGTCCTCTCCGTTTATCTTTAGTATAATCATGTCAATTCTTGGCAAAGCTGGGGCACCCTCCCCTCTGCTGCTTTGAAGGTGACACCTCAAAGCTCCCTGGGACCCAGGAGAAGGAACTGAAGGGATGCCTCAACCTACCTCCCTGCTAGGGAATACCCAGTCTGAGAGCTCAGTAAGGTCCTGTATGTCCTGAATTCACTGGGATCCTCAGCCTTCCTTTAAGGTCCTCATCTTGGCTCCTTGAAAGGCTTGGCACCACTCCCCTTTGTTGACTGGTGGCTACACCTTCAGACTAAGAATATCACTGCCTTTAGACCTAATATAAAGAAGTGAGGGGGATGCTCAACCTGACAGCCCTTCCCTGTGATTTCAAGGGCTGAAATCAAAGGGTTAAGATGGATGTTTTGATGTCCCCTCTATTCAGGATTGGAGGACCCCTTGATTCCTTACTCAGCTTCCTCAAATTTGCTCCTGGTAGAGAAGCTCCACTTTTTCTTGAACTGATGCCTATGTCCTCATAGTAAGAGCGAACCTCCCTGAGTCCCAACAGGAAGAAGTGAAGACAACCTTATCAGACCAAACACGGTAAAAGCTATTGCAGGCAGGTTGATGTCCTATGGTAGGTGGTCCCCCACAGGATCCCAACTCAAGGTCTAAATCTGACTCACGACAGGGTCTAAGATTTCTTCCTCTGCTGACCTAGAACCGCTCCCCTCAGACCAAGACCCGCACTGGCCTGCTACCGTGGGGTGGTGACTGATGAACACTTCCGCCTGACACCTATCCTTGAGGTCTCCCAGAGCTGATAATAGGCAGGATTCTTTGGGGCCCCACTGATGTGGCATGGGACATGTGAACAGTTCTCAAGGTTTTCACTCTGACACCTGGCATAATCTCAAATCCTCCCTCTGCTGGCTTGAGGCTGCCCACTTTGACCTGGCCCCTCACCTCCCTGAGATGCCCTAGGAAGAAGTGAGTATAAGGCATCATGTCACCATGCCCAAGTTTCCCAGGCGTGAGAACAGGGATAGGGCTTTATGTGGCCCCCTTCTTTCTGGGAGGTGTCCTCCATTCTCACTGGGTATCACAGCCTCAACTCCTGTTAGGAACTGGGTCCATTTTGCTGAAAGGAGCTTGCTCCATTAGACCAAGGCCCTCCCCTTCCTGAGATCACCTCCAGAGAAAATGAGGGGGCACCTCAGCCTGCCAGCTCTGCCCGGGGCCTCCCTTGCTGAGTTTGGGAGTTGAGAGGTAGAGCCCTCAATTCCCTTAGTTGCTAGAGGGAAAAGCAGCTCTCTCAACGTGTGTCTACCCTTCCTGGAGCCTCCGAGAGCAGAGTACAGGGGGGCTTGCCAGTGTGGCCCCCTCTGTTGGGTAAAGGTCTGCTCATAGCCCTCGGAGCCCTCACTGTGAATCCAGTTAGGACCTAGCTCTCCTCCACGTGTACAATCGGGACTACTCCCATACCAAGGCCTTCTCCGTGAGATTTTCTAGGCCAAATTCGGCCAGCCAGTCCGCTGGGACCTTCCAGAGCCCGACCGAAGGGGCAGGTTTGGGAGGCCAACTTTGTTATGGGGGGCGGAATAATCTCTTCAGTCCCCCCCAGGGTCCTCACCTTGACTTCAGACCGGTCCTGGGACACCGTCCGCCGTCCAAAGCACCGCCGCGCCCAAGGGTCGAGCTTCCGCCCAGAACGGAAGTCGGGGGATCCGCATCCGGGGGCGGCACCGGGGTCTCCGGGGGCTGAACGCAGGGGTGGGCGGGGCTCTGTGGGACCCCGGCGCTTGCGGCTCCTCCCCCTGCCGGCCCAGGGCTGCCAGCCCCCAGGGCCCCCACCCTCCTGAGTCCCTAGAGGGGAATCTCTGGTCCTGTCGCTCGGGGGTACTCCTTCCTGAGCCGCACAAGCCTGAAAGCAGGAACAGGGCTCTGGGAGGCGTTTTGTTTTGTTTTGTTTTGTTTTTAAGAGAGAGAGGTGGGTACGAAGTGGGGAGAGGGAGAGGGAGCATCTTAAGCAGGCTCCGTTCCCAGGGCACAGCCCCATGCAGGGCTGGATCTCATTATCCTGAGATCATGACCTGAGCTGAAACCAAGAGTCCTAGGCTCAACAGACTGAGCCACCCAGGTGCCCCCTGGAAGGCTTTTTTTTTTTTTTAAAGGAGTTGTAGCCTCATCAGCACTCAGAGTCCTCATCTTCAATTAAGGCCGAGCCTCCACCCTTGGCAGAACTGGGGCTGCCCTCTTCGGACCAAGGGCTTTTCCTCCCTGAGATTGCACAGGTGGAATCAGTTATAGCTCTTCTGGGGCCTCCAGGGCTCAGAATAGGATGGGGCTCTGTTTGACTCCCTGTGCTGGTAGGATGATCCCTATTGAATTGTCAGGGTTCTTATTATGACTCTTGCTAAGGCTTGGGTTTTCTCTCTTTGCACATCTAGGGCTGACCCCACCTATGTGAGACACTACTGGGAGACTGAGGGGGTTCTTCCACCTCACAACTCTGTCCTGGGCATCCCAGGGCCAAAAGCATCGGGGGGGGGGTGTTGTGTGGATCCTCTGTTCTGGGGTGAGTGATTCCCTCACTCTTTTTTTTTTTTATAAAGATTTTTATTTATTTATTTGAGAGAGAGAATGAGAGAGAGAGAGAGCACATGAGAGGGGGGAAGGTCAGAGGGAGAAGCAGACTCCCTGCCAAGCAGGGAGCCCGATGCGGGACTCGATCCCGGGACTCCAGGATCATGACCTGAGCCGAAGGCAGTCGCTTAACCAACTGAGCCACCTAGGTGCCCTGATTCCCTCATTCTTATTCAGAGTTCTCACCCTGACATCTGACCAGTCTTGGGACTCCAGTGTCTGCTGACCTGAGGCTGCCCCCATCAAATCAAAGTACACATCTTCTGGGGACCGAATTGGAACTCAGAATGAGCCACATCCAGGATAGTATGTCTGTTCTCCTACGTAGAGGACCCAAACCGGACTCTGTGGAACCCCATTGTTCTGGCAGGGTCCTTCCATCATTCCTCATTTGGGGTCCTTCATATGTATCAGAGGCTGGGACTCCTTCTTCTACTGACCTAAGATTGTCCTTGTTTGGCCGAAGCTCTTAAGTGCTCGAGAGGCCTGAAGAATAAGTGAGGGCATGCTCAGCCTGAGAGCTCTGTCTGAGGTCAGTCTGAGCTCTGTCTGTCTTTGTCTAAGTATGAAAGCACGTAGAAGCCTATGTGTGATCCCCTGTATTCTGGGATATTGGTCACCCAAGGCCTCTAATATTGGGCTTTTCATCTTGGCTCCTGTCTCTTGGATTAAAGGCTTTCTGGGAAACGCCACATCCTTGCCAAAACCTGAGCAGTTTCCCCTCTGCAAACCTCAGTCCCTGTCCTTGGAGTGATGTGAGATGGGGAAGCTAAAGTACAAGGCAGGAATCCCAGGAAGGTGAGGGGCTGTTAGGGGGGAAATGTGCTGCTATTTTCCTTCTCTTCATCAGCCAGACTTAGTCTCATGTAAATTCTCTTCTGATAGATTTATACTGTATGGGGAAGGGCTGTCCAAGAGGACTTTGTGAGCTCCTCATCTTTCAAGGTTATCTGATATTTCATGTGTAGATGATCATATTATCACCTTGTATTCTTTTTTCATGCCTCTCATTTATTTTGGTATTCATACTGCTCTAGGAATGTATTCCAACCCAGTAGTATGAGCATAGAGTCCTTATTTTAATTGCCTGAGATACATTTTTCAGAAGAAAGGGGGAAATTGAATAAGAGACATAAGGTGGGCCTCAGGCTAGGACTGTGACAGTTGTGGGCTCTAGACTAGTCCAGACTAGGGGTCTAGTTTCAACCCTGTCCCTTAACAGCTGTGCGAATTCAGACACATTACTAAACTTTGTGAGCATCAGGCTCTGCATCTGTGAAGTGGGTTTGATGAGCTCTGTCTTATAGGATGGTGGACTGTAGTTAATATGTGTTAAGTGCCTGGCACAATACCTGGCCTATTGGCAATTCAACATGGCATTTATTGGTATGATTAATTTGAACCACGATTATATCACCCACCCTGCCAGGATTTTTTTTTTTTAATCCAGCAGCTGTCAGCAAATATGTAGCATTCTAGAACAAAGAAAATCCAATCAGCCGAAATGCTGATTAGCAAGGAAAACTAAGTAATATTTTCCTATTACATGATAAATCATTCAATAGGGTATAAGGTACAGTTCCCCAGTTAGATGTAACACAAATCTCCTAAAATTTCTGTCAAGGATCAATAACTTCCTGCCCTCCTAGGGGTCTTTCCATCCAAACCACCCTTGTTTTCATTAATTTTACCTGCACTAAAAAACCTAGAATTTGCCAAAATACACATGGTAACTTAACCTGAATGCCCTTTCGATGGAGTGGGTTCTGATCACCCCAGCCAGGTACAAAGAGTGCCTAGTGTCTTCTTAACATCTCGCCTCAAGGGAGAATCACCTTTATTTCTCGGAAACTCCCTGGAGACAAGGCAATTAAAACATCTAATTTGTACATTGCATTCACCTGCACGGGGACAAGAGCACAGGACATGTTCCATCTCTGCCCCGGGTGATTTCTCTCTGGTTTCCCCACCATCTCAAAGTAACTTTAAGGGCAGTCTGCCATTCCAGGCCTCACTCAGAGCCCTCACCATGACTCT